AAGGAGGGGGGAGGGGGAAGAAAAAATAAGGGGGGAAAAAAAAAGGGAGAAAATTAGCGACAAGAAGGGGCGGATAAAAAAAGAAAAGGCGAAAGGGAACAAGAAAAAAAAAAGGAAAGAAAAAACAAGAGAAAACCGGGAAAGGGGGGGGGCAAAAGAAAAAAAAAGGAAAAAGAACGAGGGCCGAACAAAAAACCCCAAAGTAGATGGATAGGAGGGGAGGAGGGGAGGCCGGCGGCGTCCGCGCCTGGCAGACGTTCTTCGCAATGGCAACCTCGGCCGCGACGATGGTCTCCTTGTAGCGCGCCTCGGAGCCGGGCTTCCAGCGGAAGGCGGTGTACGGCCGGCCCGAGATCTTACACTCGCGCGAGTTTGGCATCTTGAGCATCCGCACGTACGGGTTGGGACCGAGGCAGACCTGTCCGGCAAAGGCGGCGGTGAGCGGAGGACGGCCGCCGCCCGAGTGGCGGGCGCGGCCGCGGCCGCGGCCGCGGGCAGTGGCCGGGCCGTGGCAGGCGCAGCAGCGGACACGGCGGCCGAGGAGGCGGAGCAGTGACGGTGGAGGCGGGACGCAAAACCTCGCACACGTACGGAAAATCCTCGCCAAGTGTGAGACCGTCGGGCGTTTGGGCCAGCTGGGCGCCCGGCCTAGCGGCAGCCGCAGCGGCAGTCGCGGCAGCGCCACCGGATGAAGAGGCCATCGCACAGCAGCTCGGACCCAGGACCCTGGCCGCGCAGCGCCGCCAAGCTCTCAAAACGAGAATCACGCGGGTGCGCTACGCTGCTCGCTCAGCGGAGCTGGGAAAAGGACCGCCGCAAGCGGCGTGGCGTGGAGCGGTTGAGCATCCCTCCGGGGGCCCCTCTGCGCCGGGGAGGCGTTGTTGGAGGTTAGGACGCAAGCGTCCGTCGCCGTTTTCAAACTCGGGGCCCACTCCGCTACGCTCCGACCCGAATTTGGAGGGCCTAAAAGTTTAAGGTGTTGCTGCGCAAAAGGGGTCGGACACAGGGCGCAGCTCATGCTAAGAGCTAGAAGGGGAGCTAGAGAGAGCGACTAACTACCCTGTCCCGTCATTGCGTACACCAACACCACAAAAGCTCTCTCTCTCCTGTCCTCACTCAGGGGGGCGGTCACTCAAACTACCGAGTCCCTCGACTAGCTGCCACGTTGCCGACCGAGAGCGGATCTCCTCCTGCTCCGCAAGGAGGGTGGCCAAGGCTAAAGTCTTGCCGGAGCCGCCGCCCCTTGTACTTGTACTTGTAGAGATGCTCGAGGGGGTGCTTTGTGGGGGTGCGCAGCCAGGCCAGCAGTGAGGGGAGGCGCACCCTCACTCTCCTCGGTTGCAGAGCTCGTCGGAGGCTGCGGCACGACGGGAGGGTCGCGACAGCAGTCCTAGCTCTTCGACTTGTGACGCAGTCTCGTCCCCAGCTCCCCCAGGGCTCGGCCTGGCCTGTCCAGGTGGTCCACAGCAGCCGTCAGCCGCCGCGCGCATGAAGCCTGGGCTACCCAGTGCTTTCGGAGCAACTGAGGGAAAGCCGCTGATCGAGCCCAGCGTGCCCGCGGCCGCCTCCCGCGCAGCACCGCCGCTGAGGACGACACGCTGCGGAATCGGATCGAGCCCATGGAGGAGGAGGGTGGTCGGCGAATCGGAGGAGGAGGAGGGCGCAGTCGTCGACGTTTGGCGTGTCTGACTCAGAGGAGGAGTTGGAGGTGCTCCAGCAACCTAACCTGATCCAGAAGCTCGCCGACGTTGTCAGGTTACGTGCGTCATGCGTGATCGAGCTTGAGGGAGGAGCTCAGCTAACGATTCGGCCGGCCACCCAGCGCCGCCGCCCACCGCCACCCACAAAGCGCCTGCTCTACTATCCCGTACCTGGCTGGCTGACGCTCACCCCCCCCGCTCCACTTTCCCCTGACCATGCCCGTGATAGCACCATCACTGTCGCCGTCCTGGTTTTGAACGTGGCAGCTAGTCGAGGGACTCGGTAGTCGTGACCGCCCCCTGAGTGTGAGGAGCAGGAGAGAGAGAGCTTTGTGGTGTTGGTGTACGCAATAACGGGACAGGGTGGTTGTTCTCTCCATCTCCCCTTCTAGCTCTTAGCATGAGCTGCGCCCTGTGTCCGACCCCTTTTGCGCAGCAACACCTGAAACTTTCAGGCCCTCCAAATTCGGGTCGGAGCGTAGCGGAGTGGGCCCCGAGTTTGAAAAGGGCGACGGACGCTTGCGTCCTAGCCTCCAACAACGCCTCCCCGGCGCAGAGGGGCCCCCGGAGGGATGCTCAACCGCTCCACGCCACGCCGCTTGCGGCGGTCCTATTCCCAGCTCCGCTGAGAGCCGCCACGTTATTTTTCGACGATCGGGACGTCCTTGCTCACTGGCGCGACTGCGCGCGCGACGGCGCCACCAGCCGCTTCGCCCCGCGGCTGCTGTAATGCCGCCGCCGCATCCCGCGGGCACCTCTTATTCGAGGCCACGTCGCCTCAACCCATTTGAGAATTTTGGCGACTGGCTGCCGTCGGTGAGGCTGCCCTTCCAAGCCGGATCCTCTGAGGACGGCTCAGGCGACGGCGCCGGCTCAGGCTACCCGCCGATCCTCATCGAGTCGAAAGCCCAAATATGGCCAGGTGGGCCCACCGCGCTGCCCCCTGTGGCCTGCGCCGGCATCTTTGCTCTTGCACCTCTCACGATGCTGCTGCTGTGGGTCTACATCGCGTTCGCGACCTGTCGAGGGGGGAAGCGAGTGGAGGGGGGAGCAGCGCTGGCGCCGGCGCCGGCGGCGCGTGCGTCAGATAGCGACGGCGGCTTGCGCCGCGTCGAAAAGGCAGACGTCGCGGGCACGGCGGGAGCCTCCTCCTCCTCCTCCTCAGCAGCAGCAGCAGCAGCAGCAGCTCGCGCCGGCTCGTCGTCCACCGCCGCCTCGTCGTCCACCGCTCGAGGCAGCAGCGCGTTCGTGAGTGCAAACGAGTATTGTTCCTCCGCTGCGGACGAGGCCGACGCGATAAGTTCCGCGCGGGCGCAGGTGTGAGTTGGGGGGGCTCCAACCCGCCACCTACGCCTGCTAGTCGAGACATGCGCATGGAAGAGCGCCATGGGTGCGTGGAGTGTGGATGTGGGGTGGGCTACGTCGCGATCGCAGCACCGCTGTGTGCCCGTGTAAGGGGCGAGTCGCGAGTGTCTTGACGTGTGTGCGAGTGTGCGTTACGGTTCTACGAGTGTGCTGGAGGCGGGCTTAGCACGCCTGACGCCTCGTGTGCCTCTCCTCTGCCAACGTGGTGTGTGCGCGCGCGGAGCGTGCATGCTGTGAGTGGGCTGACACTGTTAGAGAGGGTAGGAGCCAATGAAAAATCGTTCATCGTCGGGATTATCATCGCAATGTATACGGCATCTTGGATGCTAGCGATCTGCAACATCAGACCGCGGAACAGTCAACAGACGTACTTCACGGTCACGCGCCGCAGAGGCGGAGGCAGCGAGGAAGAATGCGCTCGGAATGGCAGGCCAGACGATAGAAAGGAGACTGCGCGGAGAGGAGGAGGCGGAGGCCAGCGAGGAGCGGGAGCGGCGAGAGGGCGGAAGGGGGCGAGGAGGAAGGAGGGGCAAGTGACAGACCAGAGAATGGAGGGCGCTGGCAGAGGCGGAGGTTCAACCGGAGGAGCGCCACAAAGGAGGCACAGCGAGCGGAGGAAGCGGAGCCACAACCAGCGACGACGTGGAAATGGAGAGGCAGCTCGAGGGGGAGGCGGATCTCTCAACCGCTGGCGGCAGGCGGCTATGCGGCCCAGTCAACGACGACGAGGACGAGATGAGAATTTGCGACGCCGTCGACGAGGTGGAGGGGTCCAACTCGATCCGCCCGGCGGCACAAGGGGAGACGCTCGACGACGAGGCGCCAGCCGCGATGGCGGCAGGCGGCGAGGCGAGCAGCAGTGCCCCAGGAGGCGAGACGGTCCTTGGGCGGCGCGTGCGAGGGGAGGCGTTCGACGACGAGGCGCCGACCGTGATGGCGGAAGGCGACGAGGCGAGCAGCAGTGCCCCTCCAGCGGCGAAGAGGAACAGAGGTCGGAAGAGAGCGGGAAAGCAAGCCAAGATGAATCACCACCAACGAGATGACATGACCGAGAGAAGAGAGAGGGGAGAGAGAGCGTGATGGAGGAGAGAGAGGGTGTGGCGTCCTGTTGTCGAGAGCGAGCGAGAGAGGGGGCGTGAACAGTAGTGGAGGGCGTGAGTCGGTGAGGAGTGTATTGTGTTGTCGAGGAGTCGACGCCAAGCTGAGTGGTGTGCGCACTCGGCGAAGGCCCCTCAGGTGCCTGCGCGCCAACCAACCCCCGGTGTTTTGACACCATTATTCGGTATATTAACCTCGCGGCCGCCTAGATAGACTGGAAGAGGTAGACACCGCAGGAGCGAGGCTGCCGCTGCTGCTGCTGCTGCACAATGGTTGGGTAGTAGGGCTAGAGGGTCGCTCTACACTTAGCCTCTGCAGCGAGCGAGCGCTCAACTTAGCCCCCACACGGAGCCGGGCTCGGACTTAGACGCTGTATGGTCGGGGGCCATGAACTTAGACGACATAAGGCCAACTCCGGGCAAAACCCGGGTATACCTGAAAAGCCTCCAGGTTTACCCGAAAACACCTGGACGCGTCCCACCAACGTATGCCGCGTATGCCGCGCACGACGCCATATATCGCCTTCTCCCAGGGCCAGTGCGCTACTTGCGGCGCGCAGCGCCTGCTCAAGTACCCCCCCCCACCATGTGCTGCCGCTATGCGTGCCTTAAGGCGGCTGCGGCGAAGCGGCGGGCGCGGCATGCCGATGGCAGTGCGAACGATGCGGTTGCGATGTGTTCTGCTTCAAGATCGTGGCGGTGCTTGGCATGCACTTCTGCGATCCCAATCAGCTCATCGCAACGAAGCAGCGCAACTAGCTGGCTGCTGCCAACAAGGCCCTATGCTACCTCACGCGCGGATCGTTCAAAGAGGACCAGCACACACAGGCTTCACCGTCACGCGTTTGATTAAGCTTGAGGAGCTTCGTGTCATGTGAGAACTGTTTGGCTAGACGTCGCTCAAGAATGAAGGAGCAGCAACGAAAATCGGAAGAGGAGGATGCTGAGGCGGCGATTGCTAAGCATGAAGAGGATCCATTGCCCTCCGCAGGCGAAGAAAATTTGGGGGCTGCGCCGTATCGTTGATCACGGTGGGAGCCTCCTGGCCCCAGGCCGTGCCACGGCCGACTTAGCCGATGTAAGAGGCTCCCGCTGATCTTAGACCGCGCAAGCACTCCAGCGTGGCTAGCCACACTTAGACCCGTCCAGCCTCGAGGCTCAGAACTTAGACTACTACCCAACCAGTTGCTGCACTGCTGCTGTTGCTGCGGCCGCCGCTGCTGCTGCTGCTGCCATATACGACCTCTCTCCCACCCCGCCCGCCCTCCCCGCCCCGCCCCGCCCGTCCGCCCAACCGCCCGCCCCGCCCTCCCTCCCTCTACTTTCTTATCGCTCTTTCCCAGCCATTCGCGCATCGACACATAGGCGCTCGAGTGCTCCTCTCGCTGCCTACTCGCTGCCTCGAGGGGAGGAGGGGAAGATGTCGAGCTGAGCTAGCCTCGCACGGCCGGAGGCCCCTCCCCGAAAGGCAAGTATTAGCCACACGAAACCGAGACCCCTCCCCACCGCCCCGACCCCCCCACCCCCTTGCTCCCCTCCCCCCCTCGGGAGGGCCGAAGAGAGGCGCCCGTGGGGACCCCGCAATTCCCTTCCCCCCTCGGAGGGGCGAGGCGTACCCCGAGGGCTCCGCTCTTTCCTTCGCATAGCGGCCACTCTTCGGATCGCTGGTCGAGCGACCCGGGGGATGCCCCGCGCGCCTGACCCAGGCGCGAGAAACGAATCTGCGAGGCGTGGCCGCTCACGCGGCCCGATGGGGAGGAGCGGGGCGAGCCCCCTCCAACCCACCCGCGCTAGGTCTCGGGGGACGCAGGGGTCAGCCCCGCGCGACCTCGGGAAGGAACTAGCCAGCCGGGGCAGTCGGAGAAGGGGCAACTCCGTGCACTGACGGTCGGCCGCCAGAAAACACGCCTGCGTGGATCGCGTCACACCAATCCTCGCTACACAACGCGGCCAAAGGATATCCACCTCAGAACCTCGAGATAATCGAGGAAAGAAGAAAGAAAAACGCGCCTCCTGCGCGCTTTTTGAGCTCGGTCCTGGCCCGCTAGCGCAACCCCGAGTCGGGCCTCCGAGAGCAGCCTCAGGAGCAGCCTCAGCCGCAGCCGCAGCCGCAGCCGCAGCCGCAGCCGCAGCCGCAGCCGCAGCCATGGAGACAGACGCGGACACAACGGGGCTCTTCGGCGGCGGCAACAAGGACGACAAGGTCAACATCTGCGAGTATGTCGCGCTTAACCACTCTCTCTTGGGCATGGTCTTCCAGAAAGGCAAGGTACGCGACCAGGTCGCGCTCTTCGGCTTCGTGACTTCGCTGGCCGTCGCGACAGGCATGGTGACTGCCGAGTACGTCGGCATTGACGACTGGAAGAGCCAGGCCGCCAGCCTCGCCTTGACCCTCCTCGTCGTGACGCCTGCCACGTTCTGCTTCAAGTGCTTTCAAGGCTTCTTCTCTGGGATGAAGTGCCTGTATGAGGTGCACACCCGGCCACGGCCACCCGCCGCCCGTGCCACTTCCAACCACCCGCACCACGGCCCCGACCGCAGCTGGCCACCCTCCTCTTCGCTGGCGGCACCGTCTACTGGGCTGCAACCAGGCCGCGCGCGGCCGACGCAGGCTACCAGGCGGTCTACGGCCTCACTGCTGCCTGGATAGTTGAGGCGCCCTCGCACATCTTCAAGTACTTATACTGCGCGGCGTTTTGCCCCTGCTGCATGCCCAAGAAGGGCAAGCTGAACTCGGTGTCAGACATTGCGCGCGAATACACGGGCGCCCCAGAGCTGCACGTTGACATCGAGCGATGAGAGATCGATCGCTGCCGCGACTGCCCATGCTGTAGCGCGGTGGGCACGTCGCCGCACACTCATTCATGTTTAGCCGCTTTCGCATTGCCGGGCCCCTCTGTGGCGTCTAGTGGCGGGCCGTGGGTGGTATTCGTCGGTCGGTGTAAAGCCGCAATGGAGTACGTACTCGGTGTAGAAAGCCGTCTGTACTGTCTGCTGTGTACTGTCTGTCCGTCGCGCCCTCAGCCTCACTCACTCAGTCACACTCGTCAAGCCAACGACACGTCAGTCCATGTGACGAGACATATCATAATCATAAACGAAAGTGAAAAGACAAACACTCAACCGTGACACAAGCGCTCCCAGCACCCGACACACGCACAGGTTTCCGAAAGGTGGAAACAAAGACCCTAATCACACCCCGGTTCTTGGCTCAGCTCCTGCCCCAACCTCCCACCCCCACCCCTCGGCCATCCTCGGGTAGTGCCCACTGCGGCCGCATTATGCTTACTCGTTGTGGTTTTGTAGAAGGGCTGCTGCTATTTTGTGCCACCGTCACCCCTTGCTGCTGCTGCTGCTGTTGCTGCTGTTGCTGCGCCTGCGCCTGCGCCTGCTGCTGCTGCTGCTGCTGCTGCTGCTGCTGCTGCTGCACCTGCGCCTGCTGCTGCTTGACTTTCTGCACCTTTGCCACCCAGCTTTTGTAGTCCGGCCTGGAGCCCAACGGGCAGGGCTCCGCCCACCTGTGTCCCACGTAGCAGCCCATGTCCTCGGGCCTCGTCGTCTTCGAAAAGTCCTGCGGTGACGGCTCGTGGCCCTCCGCAGCGCGCAGCGCGCTACCGAGCCACGAGCCGATCACGCTCCTCGCAGTTGGTCCTTGCTCCTCTCCCGACGCCTCCATCTCCTTGGCGTCATTTCCGAGGATGAGAAGACTGCTTCTGGAAGGGCTGGTCTGAGCCGAGGGGCCGGCAACCGTGAAGCAGCCCAAGGCGACCAGGGCGATCACGAGCACGAGAAGCCATGCGCGAGGCCGCTCTCGCGTCGTCTGCATTGTTACACTTGCGCACGCCACACGAGTCCGATCCAAAGCACGCGCCCGGAAGTCAAGGACGAAACAGAGTGCCGCGTGTCACTACCCTGGTTTCTTGTTAGCAGAGCAAGACACCACAGGGCTCCCAGTGGTAGTTCCTCATCAGAGTAATTAATCCGCTACGATCGCGTGAATTCTTCTCAGCGAAGCCAGCTTCAACCCGGCTTGCAACGTTAAGCAAACGGGCGCCTCTTTCTTTTTCGCACAACACTTTGTCGTAAAATTCTTTTCTCCCCGCTGGCCCAGTGCGTTCAAAACGGCGAAAAAAACATAATAGAAATAAATTTCCACGGTTGGGTTTTCTTGGTACTTGGAGGAAACCGGTAACCGCTCCGAAAAAGAATTTTGGCACCTGCGGTCGCACAAAATCCGATTGCGAATGGGAGAATATGTGTCGTCTGTTGTGTCACTGTGTGCGTCATATCGGTCCTTGATAACAAGTACGGTCGATCCGTCGAAGCGATACACTCGTTCCTATCACATACAGTTCCGGACGGGCATTAAGAACCTCTAACGTTAAGAACCTGAGGCTCATATTTCGGCCGGATCCCTAAGAACTCCCTAAGAACCTGAGGCTGGGCCAACGCCTGCAGCCGGCGCCCCTGCCCCCGCGGCCGCAGCCGCAGGGGCAGCTCACGGCAGCGAATGACTCTCTTGTCACGCCATGCGCGAACTTACTGTTCCAAACTTCCAAACTGTTTTAAGACCCATTATTGATTTTTAATCGAAGCCGAAACGGTTTTAAAAACCATCCACCCGGTTAAGAACCTGAGGCTCGGCCCCCGACGGACCGCCGACTTAGCTAAGAACCTGAGGCTGGGCGAAGAACCTGTGCGTTCTTAATGCCCGTCCGGAACTGTATTCTCACAGCCGCCGGGACGCAAAACGCTCTCGACGAGAGCCACAAGAAGCCGTCCACCCTACACCCAGGCGTGAGCTCCGCCATGAGCGACCTGCGTAGAACCAAAAGCCGAGCCGTGGTCGTGCTTTTTGCCATGAGTGGCGCCGATGCGTCCGCCTCACACACCAAGCTCTGCTCTACAACCCTCGCCGCTTCTGCCGCCGCCGCCGCCACCACCTGCTCCCACGACGTGAGCCGGCGAGGCGTGCTCCACACGGCAACAGCACTTGCTAGTGGGATCGTGCCAAGCGCTGCACACGCAGACGGCGACGAGGAGAGGCAAAAGTACTTTCTTCGGTTCCCGACGCTGTTCGCTCCGCTCTATGGCGAGTCGTCTCGGCGCACCATCAAGCGGCAGCTCGGCGACCGCATCTGGGCGCTCGAGCAGCAGACATCGGTCGGCAAGGGGTGGCCGAATGGCGGCCGCCACTTGCTGTCTTCGCCTGTTAGGCGCTCGAGCAGAACCTCGAGCTCGGGCCGCTCGAGACGCCTCTGCGCTGCGTGGTGGTCCGGCTACAGGATGGCTCTCTGTGGGTCCACGCGCCGCTCGCGCCGTCGCGGGAGTTCTTCGAGCTCGTTGAGTCGTGCGCGGAGGAGTGCGGTGCCCCCAGCCCTGGTCCCTCTCCCTCCTCCGCCGTGAGGCACATCGTCGTCCCGACCTACGCGCTGGAGCACAAGGTCTTCGCCAAGGACGCGCTCCTCCGCTGGAGTGACGCGCAGCTGTGGCTGTCGCCCGGCCAGTTCTCCTTCCCGCGCCGCTCCGTCTCGGACGAGTTTGTGTGGGGAAGGCGGCCGAGCGGCGTCCTCTCGCTCTCCGACGAGGACGCGGGCGCGCCCGCCGTCCCGTGGGCGATGGAGCTTCCATACCAGACGCTCGCCGCGGGCACCTTCTCCATCGGCGGCACACCCACCACCTTTTACGAGACGGCGTTCTTCCACCGCGCGAGCCGCTCCCTCATTGTCACCGACGCCCTCGCCAGGGTCCCGATCGAGGCGCCGCCGCTCAGCGACCCGGCGCGGCTGCTGCTCGTCTCGAAGCGCTCGACCGCCGACCCGCAGCCCGCGGACACGCCCGAGGCGCGGCAGGCGGGCTGGGAGACGGAGAGAGCACAGGCCGCCGCACACACACACACTCAAACACCCGATCGGTTTGAACTAGGCGGGCTGGGAGAAGACGGCCCTGCTCGTCTCCTTCTTCTTCCCCGAGCATGAGGAGGCCGACCCCGCCGCCGGCCTCGGCGTCGTCACGTGGACGGAGGGATGGCACGACAACTTTCGCGCGCTCGCCGGGCGACTGCTCGTCCCGCCCGTCGTGCGGACGCTTCTCTACGCGCAGGACCCGGCCGCGGTGCGCCGGTGGGTCGACGCGGTGGCGCGCCGCTGGCAGTTCGAGCAGATTGTGCCCGCTCACTTCGAGGCGCCCATCCGCGCCTCGCCGAGCGAGTTTGCGCGCGCTTTTGCGTTCCTGGAGGACGAGCGGATCGACGCCTTCCCCGCGGGTGACACGGCGCGGGGGCTGAGGCCGATCGCCAGGATCGCCTCGAGCGCATTAAGAGCCAGTGAAGAGTAAATAAGATGTAGAGTATGTAGATGCAAGATGGGCGGTAGAGAACGACACTTTTTCGTAAAGCCGTAAAACCCCCGCAACTGTACGAGTCGACTACTGGTTTAGACGAGCCTGTGTACTTCCACGTCGACAAGATCCGCTCCGCTCGGGACCCGGGAGCGCGGGATGATACGATACGTAGAGCTAGAGAGGCACCGGGGCACGAGGAACAGGCAAGTGGCAACAGCGGGGCAGCGCATCCATTACTCCCCCCCAGCTCCCAAGGGATGGGCCAGGTGCGTTGCTCACGGTCCACCCCGTACGTCTCTCCCCACTCTCCGCGCCACAGAGGCGCGAGAGATCTCTGTCGTGCATACATGTACATGCTTTTGAGTTGTCACGTTTTATATCTGGCCGTTCTCAACGCTCAAAACAATTCTCGGCACGGGGGAGGCAACCGCCTGCCGTCACCTTCAGCCTGGCCGTCTCCTCCTCAGCTGACCCTCTCCAGCTTGGCGACGAAAAGGGCCGAGGTGCGCGAGCGGCGAGGATCGAAGCGCAGCGTGAGGGGCAGGCTCCCCGGCGTGGCGGGGGCGTCGGCGAGGCACTCCACCTCGACCAGCCTCGCCGCCGGCTCGTCGCCGAGGAAGGCCGAGACAACGTCCTCGTTCTGCGCGCGCGCAAAGCTGCAGGTGCAGTAGACGAGAGCACCTGCCACCGGCGGAGCGCGAGGGCGTCGCGACGAGGGAGAGGCGGGGCAAGAGAGACGCCAGGCAAAGAGAGGCGGGGCAAAGGCAAAGAGAGGCGGGGCAAAGAGAGGCGGGGCAAGAGAGACGCCAGGCAAAGAGAGGCGGGGCAAAGGCAAAGAGAGGCAGGGCAAAGAGAGGCGGGGCGGGGAGGGAAGGGTCGTCCGGGGGGAGAGGGCGCGCCGCCAGGGCGAAGCAGGCGAAAGCCGGCCCGGAGCAGCCTGCGGGCGGCAGGGTCGGAGGTGGCGGGCGGCCAGGCAGAGGCCGCGGGCCCCGCGATGCTCGAGTGGTGGGAGGCGCTCGGCCTGCCGCCTGAGATTCGCCGAGATTCGCCGAGATTCGCCGAGATTCGCCGAGATTCGCCGAGGCCGAAGTTCGCCTGCCCTGCAGCAGCGGCAAGCTCGCCAGCCGTTCCGGGTCGAGGAAGCGCCTGCGCACAGCGAGGGGAGGCGGCTCCTCGCGGCGGCGCGGGAGAGGCCCCGGTATTCGGAGGCGGCGGCGGCGCGCTCGCCGCTCGAAAGTGTCCCAGCCCCACTGTGCGAACTTTGCGAGGTGCTTGATGGAGCCGTCGTGCGTGCACTCGGCGTCCACCAAGACCTAAGGTAAGGTAAGGTGCACTTCTCCACACACACGAGGTGGTGGGGCAAGGGGTGGGCGACCCTCTCGCGACTCCACGTCTAGACGACAGGAGCCGCACGGCATTCAACGTGCAAGGCCCAGCGCGCGTGGGTGAGCGGTGTGGGCACCAAAGACCTTGTCGTACAGCCTTCCTTGCCGCCCGCCCAGCTGGCCGCACGCCGCCGCGTCGCCCAAGCAGCCTCCTCTCGCGGCGGCGCGCTCCGCCAGGGCCGCCGCCCGCGCGAGCCGCTTGCCCAGGAAGGCTGGCGCTCCTGCGGCTGGGGAGGAGAGAGGGTCGGGGCGGAGCGGCGACGCGGCGGCACGCCGAAGGGGCGAGGCTGCCTTCAGCTCGCTGCCGGCGCTTGCGCCGCCGCCCACCACCTCCTCCACCACCACCACCACCACCACCTCCTCCTCCACCTCCACCTCCACCTCCACCACCTCCACCTCTAGCTGCTGCGGCGGCGGCGGCGGCGGCGGCGGCGGCGGCGGCAGCTACTCGAGGCGGCGATGCGGCGGGCGCAGCGGTGACAGCGGCGCCGTCGGCAGCGTTGCCGCTCTCCGGCGGATCCACGGCGGCGGCTGGAGCGGCGGCGGCTGGAGCGGCGGCGGAGGCGGAGGCGGCGGCCGGAGCGGCGGTCGAGGTGGCGGAGGCGGCGGAGACGGCTGGAGCAACGGCGGAGGAGGCGGAGGCGGAGGCGGCGGCCGGAGCGGCGGTCGAGGTGGCGGAGGCGGAGGCGGCGGCCGGAGCAACGGCGGAGGAGGCGGAGGCGGAGGCGGCGGCCGGAGCAACGGCGGAGGAGGCGGAGGCGGAGGCGGCGGCCGGAGCAACGGCGGAGGAGGCGGAGGCGGAGGAGGCGGCCGGAGCAACGGCGGAGGAGGCGGAGGCGGAGGCGGCGGCCGGAGCAACGGCGGAGGAGGCGGAGGCGGAGGCGGCGGCCGGAGCGGCGTCCCTCGTGAGAGTGTCTTCGTCGGAGGAGGGGAGGGTGAGTGGCGGCGGCTCCGCAAAGGCGGTCGCGTCTGCGAGGTAGAGGCGCGCGTTCGTGATGCCGTACTTGCGGCACAGCGTCCTGGCCGCAGCAAGCCGCTCCTACGCTGTGAATACGCTGACATGAGGGCGTGAGTACGGTAACTGTGTTGCGCCTTCAGAGCACCGCGTGAACACAACGGAGAAGAATACAGTGAATACAGCGGAACACAGCGGAATACAGCGGAATGCGGCTGAATCCGTGTCCTCTCGAGTGCTGGTTGGGAGACATGAAGACGTATTCCAGCTTCTAGCCAGCCGCTCCTCGCTGACGTCGACTCCCGTCACCGAGCCGCTCAGCTGCAGCGCGTCTGCCAGCGCGCCTAAAGCTCGCCGGAATCGATGGTCACCTCCGAGCTGGGAGGTGACCTGTTCGGCGCACGCGCTGGCGCACAGAGCTTTGCGCCCGGCGCGCAGCACATGTCGAGCACTGCCTCGCCCGGCAGCACGCCCAGAGCCGCCACCGCCGCGCCCGAGGCGAGGTCGATCCCGTAGAGGTCGCCGCGCCGGTAGGCGTCGCAGGCGGCAATCTTGACGTCGGCCGGTAGCCTGTAGTAGCCGGGCAGCCAGCCGACCGGCTCGCTCCGCGGCAGCTGCCGCTCCACCTCCTCCTGCGTGAGCGCCGAGCGCGGGTTGACGCGGATGTAGCGCGGAACGTCCTCCACGGAGTAGTTGTCGGCGTGCACGCCGTTCGCTTCGAGAAAGGCGCGGAAGGCGGGCGGGAAGTGCGACGCCACCGCGCCGTGCCAGCGAATGCCAGCGTCCTCGCCAGCGTCCTCCATGCGAGGGCTGATTTTTTCTAAAAAGAAAAGCGGACTTTACACATATATGGTGTGCTAACCCTATGTGGTGCGGTGGCGTAAATGGGCAAAAAACGGAAGAAAAAGAATCAAAAACGTAAGAAAGACCTACTACGTGCCTCCCCGTCTTTGTAGCCTGGCGTTTGTGCCCCGTTTCAGGACAGAGAGTTTGTTTTTGTTGCCCGTTTGTGCCGCGTCCAGTTCATTTCACTCCTCCCCGCTGTACTGACTGTGTCGGCCCCGTGAACCTTCTCACAGTGTGCTGTGAGTGCCCCTGTGTGAAGAGTGCGAGCGGGTTGAGTTCATTTATAAACCAAGACCACCGGCGTGGACGACTGGACCGCCGCTTGTGCTGTCAGAGAGATGTCAGCGCGGAAGGCGGTTGCCAAGGCGGCCAAGGCGGGAGTCGCGCTCTCCGGCGGCGTCCTTGCCAGCGGCCAGGCGGCAGAGTCCCAGGCGTACAGCTCCTCGGACCTCTTCCCACAGGTCGTGCTCCACGAAGCGCCAGTCAAGGGCGCGGGCGAGGAGGCGGGCCAGGTGGTGTCGCTCTCCAAGGACAACATCGCGGAGGCGGCTGCGCTCATCACGGAGGCGTCCCACTCGCCCGACATCCTCGAGAGCGTCACGCTGAGCGGGGACGGCTCGCACGCGTGGCTGGGCGTCTCCAACGGCGTCGGAAGCGTGGATCTCTCCCACGCGTCCTTCAAGAGCTTCGAGTGCGCCTCCTGCGTGCCCGAACGCGGCCGCCGCACCGCCATTCTTTAGCCCGCCCCCCCCACCCCTCCAGGTCGTTTGTGACCCTCTCCGCCGAGCTCGCGGCGGACCCCGAGTTCCAGCGGCTCATAGTCGCCAAGGAGAACGCGCTGCAGCGGCGCTGCCTGAGCGCGTCCGCCTCCGCGGTCTCGCTCGCCCAGTCCGACTTCAACGACTGGACCACCGCCGCGGGCTCGGAGCCCGGCACGCCCGCCGCCGTCTCCGTCTCCGGCTCCGAGCTCCTCGTCTTTGAGAATGAGGAGCTGCGCAAGCAGAACGACGGCCTGCGTGCCGAGCTGCGCAAGCTCGCCGCCGCCTCCGCGACGCCCGCCGACCCGGCCGAGGCGGAGGTGCGCGCCTGCGTCGGCCGCGCCATCGACGGCGTCCTCTCCGAGGCCGCCGCGGCCGACAAGGCGGCCGCAAAGGCGCGCGCGCGCAGCCGGCGCCCCTCGATGCCGCGCCCCTCGATGCCGCGCCTGCCGGGCGGAGACCTGCCGCGGAACGCGGCGGTGGTGGGCGCGGCGGTGGTGGTCGGGCTGCTCGCGATCCTCGTGAGCCGCAACCCCGCCTCGGCAAAGGCGGCCGCCACCTCGGCCGCGCTGGCCGTCCTCTCGCTCCTGCACCGCGTCCCGCCGCGCACGCCGGCAGACAAGGCGGCGTAGGGCGTCGGCGTAGGGCGTCGCCCCATCGGCAGGGCGAGGCGGTTTCGGTGCGAGGGGAGGGGGCGCATTTGGGGGTGGGGGTTGAGGTCGCCGCCGCCGAGAGCAGAGGCGTGGTGCGAGCAGGATGCAGTGGCGGGGGGATGACTGTGTGGGACTTCGAGGGACACATCGTGACGCGCCGTTCGTGTAGTGAAGTCGACCGCTGCAGCGTGCAGGGAGTGTCAGGCCGGATAGCTCTTGTGCGTATATACGTTTTCCTTGCGGCAGCCGTTGCACCTTCCGCGCGCGCACTTGGGTGTAAGGTAAGGTAAGGTAAACTTCTCCACACACACGAGGTGGTGGGGCAAGGGGGGGCAGCCCTCGCGTCTCCACGTCTAACGACAGGAGCCCCACGGCATTCAAAGTGCAAGGCCCGGTGCGCGTGGCGGTGAGCGGTGTGTGTGTGTGTGTGTGTGTGTGTGTGTGTGTGTGTGTGTGTGTGTGTGTGTGTGTGTGTGTGTGTGTGTGTGTGTGTGTGTGTGTGTGTGTGTGTGTCACGTCACTGCATCCTCTGCCGGTTCCTCCCGTCGCCTCTTCTTTGTTCGAATGTTTTTCAATCCATCCTTCACGACTTGGGTGGAGCATAAACAAATAAAATAAATAAACACAGAATCATAGATAAGCCAAAACCCAAATCGCAAACATAGAAACCCAAACACGGGCGGCGACGTGGCATATACGAGCTCGTAGGTGAAGGAGGCGGGCACAAGTGCCAAGGACGCACGCGAGAAGCAGCAACCACAGACCCAAATAAATAAAAACGGACACCTCTATAGACTATACTGTGAGATGGGTAAAAGGGAACAGGTCCCACTTGGGGAGCATATGGGTATGCTAATATTTAATTTAATTTATGTTGGCGAGTCCCCCCGCGACACGCGAGGCTGAGCCTCCGTGCTCCGAGTGCAGAGACTGAGGTCTGAGCGAGTGCAGTCGCGGCACACCCACACACGGGTCACGCTCACGGCACGCGGGCAGAGTTTCCGATCGAGTCTCTCGCACGTTGTCTCGTTGCGTTGTGCGCGCGCGTTCGGAGGAGATTAGAGGAGATATGTTTGTTAGCTCATAGCTGCAGACGCGGAGACGGCCTGACGAGGATCGAGGACGCGGCTGCTACGACCTACGTTCTAAATTGGATGGTAAGTGCCAAGGAGGGCGCGGAGGACGTGATTTGCGAAAACGGGGCGGAGGCCGTGGTCGCGGCGATGCGCGGACACAAAAAAGCGTGGTCGGGGTGCAGCATTTTTCGCAGGGAGGCTGCGAAAAATGCTGTTAGGGTGCCTTCAGGACCCAAAAAAGAAAGGAAAAAAGAAATGGGCCACCCGCGATCGCAGCACTTCGTGTTGGAGAGTCGAGATATTGAGAGTGTGACTAGGAGGGTGGGACGCTGGGGATTCTCAAAGGTATACCCTTGGAAAATGGCCGGATCCAGCCTTAAAAGTACAGATCGCGCGCGCTTCGCGCACAGCACCGCCTGTTCTCCGCGGCTGTGACGACGCGTGCCGTGTGCCAGCAGAGTTGGGCGCGCGCGGCGCGACGGCGCCCGCGAGGGAAGGCGCGGGGAGTGATTCTGAGATCAGGTTGGGCGTTTCCCCTTTGGAGGCAGACATTTCAGAAAGCGAATCCCAGGCCGCATCTCCCCGCTCGAAGCGGGGAACCCGTCCCGGGCGCCGCTGGAAGCGGGGGGCGCCCGCTCGAAGCGGGGGCGCCCGCTCGAAGCGGGGGCGGCGCAGGCTGCCACCGCTGCCCGGGCGCGCCGAGCGGCGGCGGAGGGCCGCCCAGGCCACCACCAGTGCCTCTCCCACCGGCGGCGCGGCGGCAGTGGCGCCGACCGCCCCTCCATCAGCGGCGGCGCGAGGCTGTCGTCGGGACGCCGGCAGGTGACGCGCGAATAGGGTGCCACCGGACCGGCCGACGAGCACCCAGCGGAGCCGTCATCGTGCATGGCGAGCCGAGCACCGCCGCGTCGCTTCTCGGCGCATTGGAGAGCAGAGGAAGCTGCTGGCGTCGCGGCTGGGATCGGCAGCGGCGCCAGCAGCTTTCTCGGATCTGAAGCGACTTTGAGCGCCGATCGATCGATCTGAGGGCTGACCGATGGGTGGCGCTGGGAGGAAGACCGCGCCACCCGTCGGCCAGCCCTCAGCTCCGCGACGGCGACTCGATAGTCGTGGCCGGCGCTCGGCTGCCACTCTAAGCTGTGCCGCCAGGCGCTCCTGGAACCGTGACGTCACTTCTTATGGATGCGGCACTAGGGACGCCCAATGTTTTCGTAAATATAGAAGCCACTCTCTCGCGTGTGGAAGCCACGACTGCGTAGTCGTGCTCCCCCGGAGCACGCCATAGAGCGCCGGTTGTGTACCGGGCGCACCCGCACGCCGCAGCCGTACACACTGCTGCCACCTGCCAGGGGGGCGCCGCAGGCGCCCCAAGCGGCGCGGAGCGCCGCCGCAGGCGGCGGACAGCAGGTGCGCAAAATTAAACGCCATTTTCGGTTCCGCAGTTTTGCCACTAACGTCGAAATCCGGTACAAATCGAGACTTACGAGAGCCGAGCCCCCCACGAAAACCACAGAGGGGCGCGCGGACAGCGCGCCGCCAGGGGCGCCGCAGGCGCCTCAAGCGGTGCGGAGCGCCGCCACAGGCGGCGGACAGCAGGTGCGCGAAATTAAACGCCATTTTCGGTTCCGCGGTTTTGGCACTGTCTACCAACTTTGTGGTACAAATCGACTTGCACTTGGTCTGAGCCCTGCGCTGCGTTTGAGCCTCCATTCTGAAAGTGTACGTAGAAGGGAAGGCAGCAGGTCCGGCTTGCGAACTCCGCTGTGCGCCGACAAGCGGTATGGCGCCGAGTAGAGGCCATTTTCCTATTAGAAAAGGCTGTCGAGAGCGCAAAATTTTCTTCGCTGCGCGCCCAACCATGGTGGGCACGCAGCGGGCGCCTGCGGCGCCAAATTTTTGAAATGTCTGCCAGTCGCCCAACCTGATCTCAGAATCACTCCGGGTGCAGCGGCCACTCCAGCGGTCGTACCGCTCGCCGGCCAGCGCAGCAGCGGCCAGCGCAGCGGCCGCCGGCGCAGCACAGCCAGAGCAGCCGGTGCGCGCCTTGCGAGTGGAGTACTGTCGCCCGGCAGCCTTGAGGCGGCCGGGCGGCACAGTACTCGTTCGAACTTTGCGAGCCGTGCGCGCGCCGGGGCGCCCGCGGCGCGCGCCCGCCCGGCTGCCAGTAGGAGGCGGCGCAATATGGCCTATAGTACAGCCCTTGAGGAGGAGGAAGAGGCTGGCTGGCAGTGCTGTATGCCGCCGAGGGGCAGTTTTGGGGTGCTGAGTCACGCCCAGGGGGCTGCAGAACGCGTCCGCAACCGGGACAACCCGCCCCCCCAGCCGAGGCCGGTCGAAGCCCACTTGGGAGCAGCCATGAGGAGTCCTCTTGGTGCTCCTCGCGGCCGTTTGAACCTCGGGCGCGCGCCGATGGGGGGGGGGGGGGTCTTGCTTGCTCCACACCGAGCGCCATCGGTCCGGACCGGTGCTCCCACCGAGGGTCGGCTTGCACAAGGTCTGAGCCGCGGGCGCTCGGCGCCAAGTGCAGTGTCACGCTTGCGCTGGAGCGGCTCACAATGGGAACC